CTCTGCCCCAACCCTTGATACCTTTGCTCCAAAAGTTTCTCTGCAGTCATCACACCTTCCTGTGCTAATGACATTTGGTCGCATTAAATGCTGAAATGAATCGGTGACTCACCTGTCATGCCTGCCTATCCAGAATTTTTGGATACAATTCTTTCAGTGGACCCATCCCACCACACCTGGCATTGCCCAGCCTTGTTGAACTGTGAGACCCATTCTTTGAACCCCCAGTCATATTGGCCCCTTTGTCATATAGAAATTCCTGCGGCAATGCCTTTCCACACCAATGCTCTGTGCCGTGGTTCCTGTTTGGCTGTCATGGATGATGCAGTCAGCTAAATGATAATCAATTCACAGGAGGCATCCCCAACACCTTCACTCGGCTTACTGGCTTGAGTTCTCTGTACGTCTCTCCCCATGTTCACTCCCCACTGTTTCCCTTACCCACTGCTCTAAGCTGCTGGCAAAGGAAATGACAGAAGCACAGCTGTTGCTGTGTTGTTCATAACAGGCTACTGTGTTGTTCATTGAATTTTTACCAAGTTACTGCGCTCCCAGCCTTCTGCTCGTCACCTCTAACGCGTGGGTCTGTGTGTCTCTGCACAACTTGTCAGAAACCTTGCTAATAACAGTCTCAGCTCAGGCCTTCACGTGGTGGCTCAGATGACATGGCTCACAGACATGTGAGGACTCTCCCCTCATCGCCTCTCCTCATCTTCGTGCCGTTTGCTGCACGTTGTTCTCCCTCCCCCCTTCTATCTCTTCCTGCCTGCACCATCTGAGCCACATCCTTGAGATCCCACTGGCTGTGCAGATTTCTCAATAATAACAACTTCTTTGGTGTGCTTCCAGCGTCCTTATCAGCAATCAAGGGCCTCTTGTTCATGTGAGTCCACTCTATCCATCTCTCACTTCGTCGGTGTAACAACCTCTCTCTTTACACATACCTCTGATTGGATTAAGCAACAGCTAGGGTTCCGACTACCCGTGATTTAAGGGCACCTGAATGGCATTGCTGTCTCTTTCATCATTAGTTCCCGTTCCTTTGGATTTATATGATTGAATTCGCATCTTCATGTGTTGGCCTGTCTCCATTTGTGCGCATGCAAACCGTTGTGGACAGAAACAATCTTCTGTGGCCACGTGTCCTCAAATGCTTTCCCATGAGTGCCTCAATGTGTGCTATCCCATACAAACATTCTGCATGAATGCGTGATCATCATCTCCCCACCACATTCAGGTCTATCGGTAGCAACCACTTCACTGGAACCTTTCCTGATTTTATCTTACACCTCAAGAGCCTTCAATCTCTGTAATACTTGGAACACAGTAGCTTTCCTGATTGTGATTTCCAGACAATGCGTGTACCTGCTCTGCTTGAACCTGATCCGTGAACAGACAACCCCGATGTGTGTGTCGACCCGGCCTGGCTCAAAATCATGCTTTTTGGGTTTTGGGCCGACCTGACCAGCCCGGATAAACCTGGCCCAACCCGGTCGAATTGGGGATATTAAATAGACTACCCACCCAGGCCAAAAGCCAGGTCGGGTCGGGCCGAATAGACTACTGAAATAGACTACGTGAACATTGACCTGTTGCACAAGTTGAGCAAACGCTGCCATATTTGTCGAATCGTATCTCTCTTTCATGGTGCCCCTGAAACGTCCATCTAAACATCAAGTGTGTGTGCTTGAATTGCCTATGGCAGGGAATTGAACAACAACAGTTTCACTGGGACTATCCCCCACGAACTGACCAAACTCGTCAACTTGAGATTTATGTGAGTGGCGCTGCTGCCTGGTCCAGCACAAGTGCAGTTGTGGGTGCAATAGCTTGCAGAAAGAAGGAGGTTGTTGTTGGTTTATGGGACCTGGGACAAGAGAAGAATCGCTAAGCTGAGATATGGTTTGGGGTTGAGGAGCCTTTGGGCCTTCTGCAATGGAATTTCTAATTATCTACCATCACTTTGGGACCCTTGACATCATTGCGCAGTAATCTCAATGACAACAAATTCCGTGGACCTATCCCATCTAGCCTGTTTCAGCTATCCATGCTCCAATCACTGTAAGTAACTCCACAGCTCCATTGCACCTTTTGTTTCCGAAACGTATTGTTACTATAATCTCTTCTCCTTGATGAGCCGTTGAAGGTCTGATTATCCATAAACGTTATGACTGCATATATGACTAGTAGTATTTTTGTGATCCTTTATTCACATGGTGCTTTGCCAGTATATCCACCGGAGTGCCAGCTACTGATACGGAGGTTATTTGCCCATTAATGCTTCACTTTTCTGCTTCCTGTGCCTACCCACTCGTCTTCTTCCCAGCCCTTCTCCAACCTTGCTGTCTATTGACGCCCCCCCATGCATGCGTGCATGTTATGTTCAAGTCTCTTCCTTACAGCTGGATGAAACCGCTTCTTCCCTTCATCCCCCCTCCTTCCAAATGCAGGGAGGTAGCTAATAACTTCCTTTCTGGGGGCCTTCCACATACTCTCAGTGCCCCTTCTTCTCTTTGGACACTGTAAGCGTTGTATGATGTCACCAATGTGCTTTTCTATACCACTTTGCATATGTGGGGCTACCTTTTCAGTTCCTGCTTTATTCTCATTTGCGTCTCCATCTGCCCCTCCTGCGATCTGCAGTAGTCTGGCGGGAAATGGATTCAGCGGCTCGTTACCAGACTTCTCACGCTGGAACGTCAGCTGCCTACAGATGTAAGCCTCTCCGTGCCCTCTTCCTTCACTTTCTTCCCCAATCATTTCTAGTGTCCCACTCTCAATATCGCTTGCCCAATCTCGCTCTCAAGTATACATGCGCATGTGGCGATATGAACCGGCCATGCTGACACCACTCGACTAGAGACGAGTCGGCTGAGTCGAGTCAAATCATAACTAGTCTCGCTGCCTTTTTGCATTCACATTCCCCTAACTCATGTCTCTTGCTGCCTTGCTTGTGTTGTGCCTCAGAGATCTCAGCGCCAACAACTTCACAGGGTCCATTCCTGACTCCATCTCCACCCTCACCACCCTCGAAGTCATGTGAGCCATGTCAACATGCCCTTCCAACAGATGCCCCTCAAACCATGCCCTTCAACACATTCTCAACATCCAATCGACAAGGGTTGTGTTGGAGTCCCATCTTTGGACCCAGAGTTGTGGGGGAACACTAGCAGTGGTGGCGTATGTGCTTGTATTTCCCATGTGCTAGCAGCAGCGGCTCAATATGCACCTCTCTTCCCATGCCCCCACAGCATCCTCAGCAACAACCAACTGACGGGCACCATCCCCTCTGCTATTTTCAGCATGACAAATTTGAAATCCCTGTAAGTTTCAAGCATCCGTAAAGTGTTCTCGCAACTGCCCCCTAGCGCTTTCCTGCACCACCTCTCATTGCTCTTTCAGACGTCACCTCTCGTTGCAACGTCTTGTCTCCCTGCCATGGCCCTCCAGCTACATGGCCAACAACCGTCTGAGTGGAAGTCTGCCAGATGCCATCAGTCGACTGGAGATGCTACAACAGATGTGAGGGTGCTACCTGTCTTCCTCCTCCTTGCCACAGTGCGTGCATGAAAGAGTGCCAGCACAAGAAAATCAAGCACATCATGTTTGCTGCAACGTCAAGGCACAAACTACAGTTGTTTACTTCTTTTACCGTAAAACAATGAGTCTTTTCAATAAAATTTTCGTTGACATCGTTTTGATGTGGTTCCACAGGTATGGTGCCCGCTTTCTGTATGGTAAAAAGAAAGAAAAGGAAAGTAATGGTCGTTGATTTCTAACCAGGGGGGTGGGTAGGGGCACCAACTCGGCATGAGAAAATAGCAAAATCACGCACGTTTCAGGTCAGGTCGAACAGTTTAAAATATTCAGCAGTCGAACGAGACATATTTGGAGTCGATCAGTTTTCAGGATTGGGGTGTTCGACTATAAAAGTCGACCATTGGACATGTTTGAATAGAACCTGTTACGATTTTCCCTAATGTCTTATTTTGTTACACTCACACAATTTGTTTTCCTGTTTCGGGGGGGTAAAAGTCGTCAGAGAGGGTTTGGGCAATTCAGCAAAGCACTGAACGAACATACACTAGGGCATTATGTTAAACAAAACAGCATTACAGACATGACCGTGTGCACAATGCTATTTTATTCATTTCAATCTAAGAACCCATTTTGCGACCCGAATTGCATGAGGATAAAGAAGTGTAGGTTCAACGCGGTTTGACACTATCTGACTAATGCACCAACTCGTGGACCCTTTCTTGCATGTTTCCCTTCGTCGCCTTGCGTAGAAATATATCTGACCAGTTTTTCTCTATGAGGTGACCACGGTTTTATATACACATGCGTGTGTGTGTGTGTGTGTGTGTGTGTGTGTGCGTGCGTGCGTGCGTGCGTGCGTGCGTGCGTGCGTGCGTGCGTGCGTGCGTGCGTGCGTGCGTGCGTGCGTGCGTGCGTGCGTGCGTGCGTGCGTGCGTGCGTGCGTGCGTGCGTGCGTGCGTGCGTGCGTGCGTGCGTGCGTGCGTGCGTGCGTGCATGCGTGCGTGCGTGTGTAGGCGCTCGCGTGCGCACACATGTATGTTTTTACCCATGACATAGAAATTGGACCTTGCTGTCCACCCTGTTGCTCATCGTGCCCCCTTCAGAAATTATCGTTTTCTTACAGAAGTAGAAAAAAAATGTGTTTTAACTTCACCCTTGCAACCAGCCATTGACATTATGTGCCTCCTGTCACTTCTCTGCCTGTTCCCACAGCTGGCTGGACAACAACAACATTGAGGGTCCTCTGCCAACTAGCCTGTGCTCACTTCCCTGGCTGTGGCGAATGTGAGTTGCAGTGGTGCACTTACGTGAGTATATGCCATATGCCATACCCGAGTGAGAAATTTGACTGCAAAAGTTGAGAGACTACTCCCATGTAGGGAACAGTACCTCGGTGCTTATGCCGTTCCGTCTGGGTGTGACTAATGCTGTTGCACGGTCTGTGACACTCTGCTGGCAGCATGATGAGCAACAACTACCTCTACGGGCCCCTGCCAGACTGCCTCTTTGACAAGTGTGTCAACCAAATGTGAGCATCTAAATTTCACATGCCAGCTCGCACCTTCAGCATGGCTGTCCCAGGGAGGGACAAAGACACATGAGGTCACTGTAATAGAGTAAATGGCGGCGGGACCACATTGCCCTGTGTCTGCCCCCTGTGCTTCCCCACAGCGATGTGAGCAACAACAGCCTGTACGGGCGCATCAACCGCGACTTTAAAAACATGGTGGCGGATCAGGGTGACGCGCTCATCAACTTGGCTCACAACTTCTTCTTTGGCGATGCCGTTCTCTTTGCTGCCGGCTGCAAGGTTTGCCCCGTTGAGATTACCGAACCCAACAACCTGGGCATGGGGGATACCAACTGGGTGCGTGCCGGCAAGTGTAGCGACGCTGCAGCCACTGGTCTGCGAGTTTACTCCGTGGCGGGGGCTGGCAAGCAGGCGAGGGTGAGTCTGCTGGGCAACTGCCTGACGCCTAGCACAGACCGGGCGTGCTCCTCCAACGCCACCCAGCGCAGCACGGCAGCCTGCCAGGCGTTCTGCAGCATCACGGACAACGGCCCGTGTGACGGCCATGGGGAGTGTGTGCCGCCTGCACCCGGTTCCACCTCCAACTTCACCTGCCTCTGTCATGCCGGCTACTCAACTCTCGACATGGGCAACGGCTCTACCTGTGCCATCGTCAACTCCACCACCACCACCACCAATGGTGAGCCCTGCTAGAAGTTGTTGCCCTATTTTAAGGTGGTGTTGTGTTGCCCCATCTCATGCAAGTATTCATAACACATCGTTCCTCTTGTTTCCCTCATTATTCGCCTTTCCTCCCAAGAACTTTCTTCCCCCCGTCCCCTCACTTCCTAAACCTCCCTTCCCCCTTTCATCCCCCCCATCCTTCAATCCGCCCCTCCCAACCCTCCTCTCACGTTCTTTCTTTCCGCTTCTTTACCAGTGTCGTCACTCTCCACTGGCGCCATAGTGGGCATTGCTGTGGGCTGCTTTGCTGGCCTCGCTCTGCTTGCTGCTGTGCTTGCATGGCTGCTGTGGCCCCGCGGACCAAGTGAGGCCCTCAACCCTTGGTCCATTCCCTCTCCCCTTATGCTGCCACCATTCATGCACTTCAAATCGGTCCCCGTGCTTTGTCTGACCATCTACACCGTTAATTAAACACACGTCACGTTTGGCCTTGTATGTGCACACTATGTGACGAAAGACGCGTCTAGCGTCTTGGACGCTTGCGACTAAGACGCTTGACGCCCATTAGGGCTAGTTAGACACTGAAAAAGACGCAAGCCCGGGCAAGCAAAAGAAACCTCCAGGCAGGCAAAAAAAACCGTCTAAGAGGGGGGGAGTGGGGGTTTCGGGACATTGCAACCACATTTCACAAGGATTGTTCCTAACCCCTTACCTCAACACCCTTGGTTGGTCACTCCTCGTGTCACTCCTCTTGTGTGTGCGCAGAGAAGTGGGAGGGGCTGGATGTGTGTGAGCAGTTCTCGCTGCAGCAGATGGTGAAGGCCACCAACAACTGGTCGGACGACAATGTGCTGGGCAAGGGTGGCTTTGGCATTGTCTACAAAGGCCACTCGCCACACGGCCAGCTCTGGGCTATCAAGCGATCCAAGATTATGACTAATGACTTTGAAACAGAGGTGAGGCTTATCCCTGGTTAGCAGCCCCTTCCACACATGGGAGACATGTGAAACACAAGTTATCTCTTGTGTTTTTTTGTTAATCCAAACCTGCGAATTCAATGCTTTCCAGGTGCATGTACCTGCGGATTGTGTTTTGCCTGTAGGTGCGAGCCATGGCATCTCTCCACCACTCGCATCTCGTTCGCCTGCTTGGGTTTTGTGTAGATCAGAATGTGGAGACGGGCAAGCAGGAGCAGATCCTCGTGTACGAGTTTGTGGGCAACAGGGACCTCGAGTACCACATCTACAAGACTAAGAGTGAGTTCCAATACCTTTTTGTTGACTCATTTTTAGGATCTAGAAAATCTAATAACACCTGTTGATTCACTGTAAGCACACGTTTCGATTCGCTCTAAATAGTCCACACGGGGTCACCTCCAAGGTTCCTAACCAAGGTCCATGTTTGTAGAGAGATCTCCGAAGTCTGATTTCACTTTTGTGCACTAGAACACTCCCAACTTGTGTTCGAAACGCATGTGTAGGAATTTGCCACATTGTGTTCGAAAAATGGTTACCCGACTTCTGTTTGCACTTCCTCCTAATGTCATTGCTGAATCCTCACGAGCAATCAGAAATTCTTATGTAGAATCGTGATCCCTCGTACAGGATTACCATTTTCCAGTTGTAAAACGGAAATTATAACGAATTTTACTGCTTTGCACCTGCATTGAAATAGTCGTGTTATGTGCGCAAATTTCTGGCGAACTTCAGTGTTCGCCACTTCCGAAAAGACGAAACTCAAGATTCAGTTTTTCAACTAAATTTTTATGTCAATCCCAATCACACCTCGGGAACTCTCGGCACTCTTCGCAACCCACGATCACACCCGAGGGGGCGCTGTCCTGACATGGGCACGGCTAATATTATCGCCCTGTCTTGTTGCGATCGTGGTTCCTGACGCGCTCGCAACAGTGCCGAGACACACGTGAGATCTGGACCCCACGTGCAGTCCAGATTCTCGCGCCCTTTGTTTACCTTGACCAGCGCTACATATCTGACGGGCAAAAACACTCGCTTTCCCCTCATGAAAACACATGAAAGCGCATAAAAAGAAACAAAATTGTATGAACTTACATGAATACTCATGAAAATGCGGAGATAACTACTACAAAGAAAGCTAGACTACGGGCTAGGCACGGGTGCTCGTGTGATCTCTGCGTTCGTTAGTCCTTAGTCGTTTTCCTAGTGCACACACTACTTGCTAGTTCACGGGGCAAGTTGGCAAGAGTTTCACTAGAGAAAGTTGACAACAATAATACAATGAAGTTGGCAAGACAAGACTACATCAGAGCTAGCATGCAAGCGGAAAACCTGCCAGCACAGCACGGTCGACCGCGTGCCAGCACGACTTGGTCGACCGCGCTCCAGCAGTGCAGAGACGCGGCTCGCCAAAGCTGCAAGTCGACGGCGTGACAACAGCGCAAGTCGACGGCGTGCCAGCGTTGCTCCCGCAGGACAGCAGCGCACCTACTTCGCAGGTGCTCGCAGATGATTGGCGTGCAGTGCCTCGTCACCTGCACAGCGCACACACCACATCAACTTCGTGCTGACGACTGCTTCTGATGCACCACGTCGACCTCGGGATACCATCACCGAGGTCGTCCTCGCCAAAACCACCTGGGCGACCATCGCAAGCCTTCGCAGCACCTCGTCACCCAGGTAACCTGGTCGACCGGGCAACCAGGTCGACCAGAGGCTCCAGTGCGTGCCCGTCGACCACCCAGGTCGACGACCACTTCCGGTCGACCTCCCCAGGTCGACCACTGCCTCTGGTACGTGCCGGTCGACCTCCCAAGTCGACGGCCACCTCCAGTCGACCTCCCCAGGTCGACCACTATCCCCTGGTCGACCAGCTCCAAGTCGACGTCACTCCTGGTCGACCAGAAGGCCTGGTCGACCAACCAGGTCGACCAGAAGGTCTGGTCGACTTACCAGGTCGACCAGAAGGTTTGGTCGACGTCCCAGGTCGACCAGAAGGGCTGGTCGACGTCCCAGGTCGACCAGAAGGTCTGGTCGACGTCCCAGGTCGACCAGAAGGGCTGGTCGACGTCCCAGGTCGACCAGCCGAAGTTGGCGCCCTCCCGAAGTCGGCGCCCATGCAGTGGCTCCCCGTCCAGGTCGACCAACCTCGTCGACCAACTCGCCCACTGCTGCAGGTCGGCTGCACCCTACACCCGACCACGAAGTTGGCTCCGCCCAAGCGAGGACGGGGCCAACATACAACTCTCGTTGACACTCCCCTGCCGCGTTCACGCTTGGCCCCCAGCCCACACGGTAGTACCTCTTCAGAGAACAGCTCGTCGACGTGCACCCAACACACAGCACGTCGTCCACCGCACCAGCCATGCAAGAGGGCATGGCACCTACTGCTGCACGTCGTCGTCGCCGTCGCCCACGTCGCAAGACGCACTTGGCCGATTGCGATGGAGCACCGGTTGAAGGCCGGATAGTGCAGCGCCTTCGTCAGGAAGTCGGCCGGCTGCTCAGCGGTCGGGATGTACTGCAGCGCAAACTTCCCCCGCTTCACCATGTGCTGCAGCCAGGCCTGTCGCCGCTCCATGTGCTTGAGGTTGCCCGTCAACCCCATGCCCTCGGCGACTGTGATGGCCGACTTGTTGTCCACCCGAAGGACGGTCGGCTTCCCAGCATCCAGCTGCTGAAACTCGGCCAGGAGGGAGCGAAGTCGGCGTCCCTCCTTGCCGGCTTCGACGGCCGCCACGTACTCCGACTCGGTCGACGACAGCGTCGCGCACTTGATGCGCTGGCTCGACCAGGAGACTGCGGCCCCTCCGTAGACGAACACGTAGCCGCCCGTGCTCGACCTGTTCTGCTTGTCACCGGCGCCGTCGGCGTCCACGTAGCCGACCAGCTCCAGCGACTTAGGTCCACCGCCAAACTCCAGGGCGGTGTCACGCGTGTTGGCGAGGTCTGCCAGACAGCGGTCGACTTCGCGCCAATGCTGGTCACTCCTCACCGTGAGGCCGCTCCCCAGCTTGCTGCAGGCGAAGGCGATGTCCGGCCTCGTCGTCGTCGCCGCGAACTGCAGCGAGCCGACCTTCTGCCGGTACTCCTCCTCCTGTCGCTCCTGCGCCTCCTCGTCGTCGAAGGTGAGCTCGGCGTAGGCGTCGACCGAGATCGGCGTCTTCGGAGTCCGTCCGCCCTGCTCCTCGTCGATGAAGCGCCTACGCAGCTTGTCGGCGTAGCCCTGCTGATGCAGCCACAGCTTCCCCGCCGACCTGTCGCGGACGATCTCCAGCCCGAGGTACTTCTGCACCGGCGAGATCTCGCGTAGCTCAAAGGCGGCCTCCAGCAGCTCCTTCAGCTCCTTCAGCATCGCGGGGCTGCTGCTGGCGGCGAGCAAGTCGTCGACGTAGACCAACACCCAGCAAGTCGCTCCGTCGCCGACCTTGAAGTAGAGAGCCTCGTCGACCTGGCTCTTCTTCCACCCAGCGCCGACCAGCACGTCGTTGAGCGCCAAGTACCACAGCAGCGGCGACTGCTTCAGCCCGTACAGGCTCTTCAGCAGCTTGCACACCCAGCCGGTTCCGTCGTTGAAGTAGTCCGGCTGCGACATGTACAGCACCCGGTCGAGCTTGCTCTGCAGGAAGGCGTTCTTCATGTCGAGCTGCATCAGGTTGAGGTTGAGCACGGCGACGATGCTGAGGAAGATCCTCAGCGTCACGTAGCTGCCCACCGGCGCGAACGTCTCGTCGTAGTCGGCGCCGTACACCTGCGTGAAGCCCTTCACGACCAGCCTCGCCTTCTCGCGCTCGACGGTGTCGTCGATGTGGTACTTCGTCGTCAGCACCCACCGGTTCTTCATCACGTTCACTCCCGGCGGGCGTTCGACCAGCTCCCACGTCCCCATGGCGATGAGACTGCGGATCTCCTCCTCCATGGCGGCCTTCACCGCCGGACCCTTCCAGCTTGCCAACGCCTCCTTCACCGTCATCGTGGAGATGTCCCAGCGGTGCTCGGGGTCGGCCAGCATGTCGGGGTCGAGCTCCGGAAACTCTTCATCCTCGTCGGCGT